CTCATTGCGAAAAGCGCATGAGCTTCGGCTCACGCGACGTCGCATGATACTCGTTCTCATGAAACGCATACATCCGGAAATGTGCTGTGCTTACAAAACAGTGCGACACACAGACATTATGAGAATGTGAGATGTGACAAAACTGAAGAGAGAGAAACAGAGTGCTACAAATCTCTTGCGCATGAGACTGCTATGATTATGAGACTATTCGTATTGCGTCTCGCATACGGTAGCGCGCGCACTGGAAGCCTGGATACATGTAAGAAATTTGTCGAATAACGTAATGTTATGTTGATTTCCATTGAAAGATAATAAAAATGCGTTTTTTGATCCACCGATATTATTTAGGCTATGTTTTGTATGATTGCAGATTCTGATCCCGAAATCGACGTCCAAGTCAGTCAACTGGATGTACTGGATTATGTTGGGGACTCCGTGCTAGCGGATTTAGAGATCTGAGCTGGCGGATATTGTGTACCTGAGCTACATCAGTAGATCAGAAGTAAAGCAAAAATTAAATGTAAACTTTGGGACTTATATTCAACAAAGTCTGCTTCAACAAAATGATGGAAACATATCAGCTGTGTCCCTGATCCGTAAAAAGAGGCAACCTTTCTCCACTGCACGATTTTTTTGCTCCTCGAATTCGGAACCCGAAAAAGTTCAAATTTGTTCTCGTTCTGCAACATCCATGAAAATGTTAAGCGGTGGAACTTGTGTTTACGTAGTCTCAAAAAGTAACTATTTTCCTGATTGCAAGCGGTGATATCATTGAAGTCATTTATCATTTTGAAGTAGGCCACTTTTCCTACAATTTGACAAGCTAACGTACAAAACAAGACAAAATTTAAATTTAAAAAGTGAAAATTCTTATGTGAGTCACGTTTGACAGAAGTTTACATTTTTATCACCACTACGACATCAGCGCCACGGGTGGCCGGTGGTTGGTTGGATTTCACTATACCGATACTACCGAAACGATCAAAAAAGACAAAATAGCTTAGTTGGGCGTGCAACCAGATTTACTTTTATTCTATCCGCGCATCTCTTATAAAACATCGTATCTGGTCTATACAAGGTGTGGAGTTGAAGGGCTGAATGTGCTGGTGCACTTCATTTGTAACTCGACTTTCATTCCACTTTGCACGATTCGTTTCTTTAGTTCGCCCAATCACCTTTTCAGTGACGTCATTACGTTTGTTTCGATCAGCGTTATGAACTTTAATATGGATTATAGAATTTCTGTATGTTACCAAAATTTATGAATTTTCTTCCACTAAATGTTGAGATAATTGATTGATTACTTTCCGGCGACTTTAGAAAAGAATAGAAACAAGCGCAATCATCATGCAAACATAGCTAGGACTTGTTTTACTTCATAATTCGCAAAGTTGCTTTTGAGTGTTATGACGTCGTCAACATCGTCTCCGGCATTGTTTACATTTTTCCCTCTACCAACGCAGGGCTAGAGAGGGCTAGATCTCCACACCATGCATAGGCCAGGCTGAGCTGTATACGCGAGTGCAGTGTTCTTTTCATCTCCACACTTTACCTTACACTGAGAAGAATAGCAACTATAGTCCAATGGACAGGGTGATTCAGAATAACTGTCACCGATTTCACAAATATGCAATTCTTAATGGGTAGAAATATGTTCAAGTATTTTTGTTTTAAAGTGTATACAAATATTATTTTGTATTGATAGTAGGATTTGGAATTTCAATCGTTTTCGAGTTCAAGCAGCCATGGACATGAAAATAGAGCATGTCTTAAATCTGTATAAATTCGTGTGTTATCTTTTAGGAACTGAAATCTCTTCGAAAGAATGAAACATTTATTTTTCGCATCATCATAGAGGTAAAAAGGAACCATGCTTGAAAAATCCGTTCAATATCAGTGCTTAGACGCATCGCCAGGGCTCCAAAAGTTCTAGAACTAAAATGTGCGTGCCAGCTATGGTTCATTTTCGTGAAAAATGTGGCTGGTAATTAAAGGTAAAGGGAGAGAGATTTGAATTAAAGTATGATAAGTTGAAGGTTCTATTACATATAGTTTATCTGAAATATACTGATATAAAACAATCATAGAAGTTTTCAATCGTTATGACCATTTTTAAAAGTGACAATTATTCCGAATCACCCTATAGTTGTAGAATTAACCGATTATTCTGAGATTAGAATTCAATGGTAATTATCCTCAAGAAAACGATTGAAGGCGATTTTTTCAAGATACTGGGACTTGGAAATATGTTTTCAAAGCTAGATGCGTCTGCGAGTTTTATTTCATGAGTCAGATGATAAAGACGAATGATTTTTCAAATCTAACTTTAATGACCTATTTGACCTAGTGATTCCTTCAGTTTAACCATAATCGATCCAGTAATTTCAATCTGGTTACGTCCTCGATTGTGAATTGTTATGTTAAGGACCCTTTGCAAAATATATGTTTAGAGTGGTCAAAATATGTTTCAGGTCCTATTTGATTATTTGAATAAGTTTTCTGAAATTGTGTGAAGGAATGTCCAAAATACAGCATATACCCTATTTATCAAGTGCACTCAGTGTCCGTATTAAATCTCAGCATTACCAGCCGTAGACGAACGCTTGAATGGAGCCTGCTATCAAATTCCATCTACATTCATGAACTGCTGCTCCACGGAGTCTGATTTGATTTGGGCTTATACAGGCCATAAGGCGTCGCATGACATTCAAAGCTGAGCTGAGGTTGGAACGCAGAATCACGTCGAAAATGGCACCCAGTAAAAAGTAAGAACTCCGTTGCACAGTGGGGCGACTTTATACAAAAACCGGTCGCAATGGTTTTTTTTTGACGTAGGACTACGTCTGTGTTTTCTATATTGGGATACACTTTGTGAAAACCGAAAATGGAATATGCATATTGAACGTTGATAACTCAGCTGCCCCTGAACCAATTTCAATAATTTTATCACCAATCGATCAGAAATATTTCTACGCTTTCGACTGCTGAAACTATTAAAAAAGTGGTAATAGTCAAGCATTGTCCAAAAGCGTCGAAATAACTAACAAATTCACCAATAACGTACATGCATATGCTGTTACTCCAACACAGTCATCGTTGAGAAACGGGAATCGTTTCTAGACCAAACATGTCATTTTTGGCGCTCTAGATCAAGACAAAATCGACACCCTAGAGTGGCTCCTAAATATAACCGCTAACAATGGATCTTCATGAAAATAGTCCATTTTAACACAGAAGCACAAACTTGAGCAAAATGTAGAACGGATATTTAGAAAGGTCATGAAATACTCCTTCACACAGTACAAACCCCATATTGACGCAATTGGGTGCATTTTAGTCATACATGTCTAAACATTATTTTCAATTTACAAAAGCTTTTAACGGATTTAAAGTCATGTAGTTATATAAAGATATAGCTTTCTAGCTTCTTTAAAGATGAGTCATGAGTCATTGAAATGATTAAATTAAATGGTTTATTAAATGGATTAAATGGTTTATTAAATGGATTAAATGGTTTATTAAATGGATTAAATGGTTTAAAATTTACAGGTTTTCAAAGAATTTTCATCTGCACTGCTTTACAAAAAATTGCACATGCATTTAAAATCTATCAGCGAATCTGGAAAAAAAATAATGAAAAATAATTTTCATTTCGACCGGCTTTGACCCCACTGTGCGTCGCTCCATGTCCATATGTTAGTGCAAATTCAAAAAGCAAAACTTGGTCAAATATCCATTCCCAGTAGATAGCGGTGAAATTGAAGCAGCTCGAGGGTAACCGCATTTGTTGCGCTATTCCAATTTTGGTGGAAAGTTTAAAGTTCGTTGAAGGTTTTGAACATTATTGAATTACGTAGGTAAATCCAATTATATTGCATCCACGTGTACAGAGAAAAAGCAATGATTCCGTATGCCACAAGACGATTGCACCGCGATCAGCAGTTGTTCTAACCTGGGGTGAATCAACGCTGGCTGTAAGGGAAATGTGGGGCAGCACGATTTTTCGCGCCACCCCATTTGGTGCCTAAACAGCTACAGGTAAGACAAAGAAAGCATAACAAGCTAGGGTTTTTTTCAATCGAGGTCGGGGGTAAAAACGTGCTGGACTGGAGCTGGGAGTACGCTCCACAGACGTGGTTTGCAAATTTCATGCTTCACAGGTTGAAATATCTGCAGACCAGATTTTGGCTCACAAGACAGCTCACGGGATGCCCCGGAGGGCCATGTGTTCGTGATGGAATGAAAACGCGGTGTTTTTTTATTCCTAAAGAGAGTGCAGCGTACAGCTGAAAGTTAATAATTTAATAAGACGCGAGAGAAATTATTCCTCAATTTAACGTTGCTGTTTTAGAATTATTACACTCTACCGGCGCTACTTTTACGATGTTAATGGTTTAAATGCAAATGAGTTTATATAGAGGTGTAATGAACTACGTGGTGCAAGGTTAATGAGGATATGAGGCACAGTTGGAATAAGGTTGAAAGAGGATTTTTTTTTTCTTCTGAAGCTTGTACTAACGCTAAAATCGACTCCTTAACATTGCTTCCCCCTGTGCCTCGGTAGAAGAAAGTCTAATGAGTAAGGAAAATTACGATACCAATGAGCCCACCATAGTTCTACCAAATGACAAAGTAGTGACGAATGTTAGATTTCCTAAGGGGAAACAACCGTGAAGAACCGTTGTGAAAAGGAATTAATGAAAAAGGAATTTAAATCATCCAAAGTACTGATTATCAACGAACCTAAGTAAAACAAAGGTATGGAAGAAGAAGAAGAAGAAAAAGTCCAAGGACAAAAATGAGTTGCTGTTTGTGCTTTTTGGGTGACGAAAAATCGCTGAATTATAAATGAATGAATGAGGAGCGAAAATCGAAAGGGAACAAAAGACAGAATCAAATCAAGCGGATTTGTTTTTTTCAGAGTCGTGGGCAAAAGAGAACGGGATGGAAAGGGATGCGGATATAAGCGAGGATTCGGTTTCAGAACTTCGACTACTTACAGCTATCGTCCTCGTCCAGATACGTATGCCCCAGGCAGATGGCTCCAAAGAAACCGAGTAGCTGAAATGATGGAAGCAGACCGTGAGAAAAAAAGGATGAGCAAGCGAAAAATTACTGTATCCGAGCGAGAGCAAGACAATGTTAATCCTACCGGGAGGAAAAAGTTTTTCTTTTGACGCTGAAACAATACTCGGCTGCGATAAGGGCAGATTGGAAACATCTAGGCTTTCACGGTGGTTGTTGGTATAGTTGGAACAACTTTTCCGGGTGGAAATTAACGAAAGGGTCACTTACCGCCAGCGCACATTGCACACCGGAGTGGGCAACTTCCACTATGTGGTAGTCCAGCAGGCAGCCATCCACCCGCTCGGGCCTCACCGGCCGGTACGGATCCTCCGAGGTGATGTTCATCGGGTAGGTCGGCTTGCAGCCGTAGACGTTCACCTCGAACCATGACACGCTGCCGGTTCCTAAATTTAATAAGTCACTATCCTGAAATCGAACGAAAAAAGGATGGTTAGGTGTATGCGAAGACAATGGTTTTATGCAAAAATGGAGTAATTTTAAAATGGAAAATATTTTGTTTGAATTGATAGTACTGAGCAGAGCAACATTTTAAGCAGTGTTTTGATTCACTGTGATTTTACCTGTCAGGATGTAATATTTTTTGTTTATATTAAATTTTTTGAATTGGGTTGTTTAATTTCGAAAAACGTACCGGTTTTTATAAATCAGAATAAAAGAGCTTCGTGTTCTGAACATAACGACATTCAGACATTCATCTCGATTTTCAAATCAACATTATATTTATTGACATTAAATCTATTAGTTGACAGCTCGGTCCTACACTGAAACAAATCAACATGTACGGTTTATTTGATCCATCTTATAACATAGCCAGATGGTTTATTAATTATATGGGATGATTAATAGATTCCATTTGATTATCAGTTAAAAGCTGCGACTGCGATATGGAATGATTTTTATCGTTATTTCGTATACTAAGTACATGGCATTCCTTCGATTTGAAAGTCTTTAGCGATGGGTAAGATGTATATGAATATTGTTCGATATATTTTACATTGAAGAACTGTTGATATGCGAAGGGACGAAAGTTTCCATTCATTGAATGGATTTCAATACCTAAAGTTTACTTCATAATTTAGATTGTTTTGAATAATTTCGCGCATGCCGATATCATCCGATTTCATCCACTTTTCATACACTCAACAAATTCCACACGTTTGATCGAAGTGTTTAAACACTTGATTTTTTAAATGTACAATCACATATATGTATTTTAAGTGTATTTCACCTTGGTATACACGTTAATTTATAGTGTTTCCACCTTTGAAATGTTGAAAATCTTTCACTATCCATTCAAGTGTATTGCACATTGAATCACGCTACTGTTCAAAACAGATGGATTTAAAGTGTTTTGCATTTCAACGCGATGTGAATTGCTTGCTCAGAAAGGTATACATCGAAAACAAGAGTTGTGACTTTATCCTATCAACCCGCCTCATATATAAGAACAACCGTGGCACAGTGAGATCGAATCTCAAATCAGACCCATTAAAAAGATATGTGAAAGCTGTGGCCTCTGGCAGTTTTGTTTATATATTTGTCGATTCATTTTTAGAGTCGGTAAAGTAGAAGTCAATAAAGTAGAATATTGTAGAATATTGAACTATGATGTGCAAAGCTATTTATATCACCAAATGAGGCACATAGAATCCAAGTGTGTCACAATTCAAATTCATAGTGTTCAGGCATGATTCATAGCATAAGACTCGGTATAAGATTCACACATGAAATGGATGTGTTTCACAATAAGCGCATAATTAAGTGTGAGACACATGATGATAACGTTTGGAATTTTTTGAGTGTAGATAATCTTGAATTATCGAACTGTTCATATGAATTTTAGTGTGTATTACGGTGTGACTGTCTGTCACTTTCTTGATAGAGCCTCAGATCGCTCATAGTTCCATCGAACCCACCCACCTTTTTTTACACAGCAAAAAAAATGTAATATCGATCAATGTAATTCAAGCTGATGTATGAAATAATGATGTAATAGCAAAAAGCAGATACAATATTACATCAATGGATGTAATTTTGTTCGCAAAATCGATGTACATCGCACAACGTTATATTACACAACCGATGGATTGACCTGGTTGCAGCAGTTTGGATGTAATATTCAACAACTTTTTTTTCTGTGTACATTGAAGATCCCCAATTCGGTCAATCGCAATTGCATGGAACTGTAGTTTGGCAATAAAGTTCTTGGTGAGGAAAACTTGCTAATTATATTTGGTTATTCCACGAAATCATCACACTCGCCGGTTTCATCCCACAGTTGAGTCCACATGAGAATTGCAATGGTATTCGTCAAAGCACAGCGAAAGTAAAATGATTCATGATGAATGGCATGGACATTATCGCGGACTAAATAAGACCGGATTAGAGATCTAGCAGATTGCGTTTCTCAGTGTCATACCATCTTCTTCTACGGCCCATAAACCCCGATCGTGCCAACCCTTTCGAACCCTTACCCAACCCGTAAAAAAAGAACGATACAGGTACAATGAAATGTTTTGTAACTATACAATAGAATTTATTGTACTTAAAATAAATTGTATTGTCAACAACGATAAAATAACCATAGAATTTATAGTTAGAATAGAATCTATTGTAAATGAGGAAATCTACAATATAACAAGGGGGCTGTTATGTATCTTAACCGTACAGAAAATCACTTTTTCCCGAATAAACTTGAGTCATTTACCATTAATTTTATTGTTTTTCTATTGTTGGAAATTCATGCTCTATGGAACATATTGTAGATCTATTTTAATAACAATATTTTAAATTTACTTGTAGCATATACATACAATAGGATCCATTGTTAACAATAGATTTTGTTGTGATTTTATATTATTTTATGGTAATTGTATGGTTATTTTTTTCCGGGAAACCATTCCCCGATTGATAAACCAGAGCCGTCTTCCTACATTATGCTCCCGGTTTTCTTCCTGCTCCGCGCTTGTGATCCAATGTCAACCGGTCCTTTAACCTTATTAGTACTCTTGAGACGGTTGAACTACAGATTTGCAGCATTTTTTTTCCCAAAAGCACGATGGGACAGCTCCGGATTTGCCATGTGAGCATACAATATTTGTTTCCGCGTCTCCACTTGACTCACTTCCATCTTGGCCGCAACAAAACACACACAATGACGCAAATCACAGGATCACAACAAACTTCAAAGAGAAACTGTGCAAAATTTGGTTAATTTTTGTCCAGCGTGAAAAAAGTTACATCCAGTTGTAAGTATTGCAATAATTCCGTGATCACCATTTAAATAGTTCTAATTTCTTCGCCAAGTTATCAGTTGAATAAACATCGTATTCATGAATAAACTGTTTACTTCAGTGAACTGTGATAAAATTTATTGCACGAAGTCCTTGGTTCACTACCCAAACCTAGATGAAACATTCAAACAAATTCAAGATAAAACGCTATTTGTTTTGGATTATTGATCACCATTAATTTCATTGGACAGCGGTGGATGGCTGCTCATGAGTGCTACTGGTTTTGAAACAAACAGTTTGTAAGCCATACAATATTATATGACCTCCTTCTACCTTCGTAGTACCGAATTTGTGAATGAAAAGTTATTTCAGCAGATTCGTAGAGCTATTTCCTATCGACCGCTGTATTTGGATTTCAATTTAATCTATAAATGACAAAGTTATAAGCGTTCAAAACCTAACACCTTTCGTGACGGTCGCAATTTTTGATTTTCGATTTATCACCTGAACCTTCCCGTAAGAGGTAAAAAAAAACACGGGCAGGCCAGTAAATCTGAGTAGCTACGCAGTAAAAGAGCAAGATTTAAGGAGCATTTCATCGATTGGGTGTCCATAGCTGCTGCACTTTATGATGCCATAACGCTGGAAGACTACCTTTTCGTGGTGCGTTACTGGTATAAGATAAGATCTACCACATAGGAGCAGTTGCACGTAGACTCGCAAATCGTTTCAGATCCATGTTTTTAGAATTACTTGTAATTTTTTACAGATGTTTATTACTGCCCAACATGTCATTTCACAGCTTTGTTTCCTTATAAACGTATAAACGACTAACTTCTGGAAAAAAGGGCTCATGTAAAATTGAACCGCATAAATACAAAAACACATATCTCCAGAACGATTTCTAGATAAAGCTGGAATTAAGGCGTAACAGCTTTTGTAAACAATGACTTCTATCGACGATTTCTAGGAATTCAAGGCACGTACACGCAGACCAACCTAACCATCGGATAGGGGAAGTCTTTCCCTACCCGATGAGGATGTTGGTTTGCGTGGGCGAGCCTTGAATTTCTAGAAATCATCAAGAGAAGACATTGTTTACAAAAGCTGTTAGGCCCTAATTCCAGCTCTATCTAGTTTTGTTTGATTGAGATGGTGTCTTCGGTGAAGTTGTGTGCATTGTGTCTTTCTAGAAAGAATATACACTGAAAAAAATAATTGTGTTCTTTGGTATAATTTTGAAAATTATGTAAAAAATAAAAAAAAATCTCAAATTGCATACCTATTAAAATAATTGGTTTTTTTTTTTAAATAAAGTTGAAGCTCAGGTAACGTGTGAACTACTGAAAATGTGTTTAAGTTGGACATTTTTTTTCGAAATATGTGGCATTGTACAGCAAAACACGTAGTTGGGAAGGGATAGCTACTCAAAAGTTTTTCAGGTTGGTGAAGGGAACCTGACGCTTCGATGAAAAAATAATAATAGTCAAGCGCTTCGAGGCAGTGTTCCTCTGCACACATGCTTGGCATGCACAGTTGTACACATCAACTGCTCATTTGTTAATAACTTTTCATTCCGTTTGTGAAATTAGGATCATCGTTTTCAATAGACTTGCAAAGAGTAGGTATATCTTAACATTTAAATCAATACCAATGATTTTTTACACTTAAAGTCCGAGATGTGCAATGAGCATTTTTCACTTCAGATTTGAAACGCAAAAACAAATACAGTTTATTATAAGAATTACAATTTATTTTTTACGTATCTATAACAAGTTTAAACCCTATTATATATACTGATTCTAAGAGAACTATGTTTCCGCCCACTGTTTGCAAATTTATTAGCAAATGAGCAGTTCGTGACCAAAAGTGTGTATTCCAAGCATGTCTGCACACACCCAAAAGGACAAAAAGACATTTGCAACGGCGGCCAAGTAAGGGAATTTACGTATTCTCTGCAACCTAAGCAGTGACCATCTTTCCATAGCCTTTTTCTCTAAGGAACGCACACATATGCAGTATTGGTTTGTATACAATCGGTTGCTGCCAGCTGCTCTAACAATTTCAACCGAAATAATTGTCAAAAACTGTTTTGAAACGCATTTCCAAAGCTCCGATCTTCTCTAGTGAGAGTGACTATTGTGGGCAACCTTTCTATTTGAGCTGCGTGTT